TAGCTTCACATTTCTGAGGCATTAGGCTCCTCCCTCCAGCACGAGCGATGTCTCCCAACAGAAGGCGTCAGGACTCCAGCCTCACTGCAAAACAACATTGATGGACAAAATTGAGAAAAGTTTGTTTTTCCAACTTGCATACACATGTACAGTCTATATAAGGAAAGTTTTGAAACATAAGACCCTTACAGTATAAACTTACTACCAACTATAATATTTTATAGAATAGTTAAAATTTATTGCAGATATTTTTTATTAGTTTGTACAGTTGGGCAGTTCTATCAGTCCAGCAGTAAAAGGGTCCATTAGAACAGTTGAATCTATCTACCAGGAAACATCTAAAGACCCTTTTGTGAGCACTTGACTCACTGTAACTTTTTAAACACTTACTGTTAACCCCTCTCAGTTCTCTTTCTGTGGTCTCACAGTGTCTCATGTACATCTTTGTACCAGCTCATATCTGGTACTTTACTAATCAGTTCTGGAACCTTTTACTGCAGCACTTCTCATGTTACGGTATCCCTAGGTTTGCAATGTTTTTGTTGTAGTATTCATAATTTGCAAGTCACCTTTTTAATAGGGATGCGCCGATCCGATATTCATATCGGGTATCGGCTCCGATAGTGCCACTTTTCTCGGATCCGGTATCGGTCAGAGAGGGCCGATCCAGATCCGAGATTTGTATTTATTTTTTCTTCGATTGTGCAAATTATTCTGTGTTACTTCTGAACCCATACGATAGCTTAATGTGAGCTACATATGAATATTTAAGTCCTTGCGAAATTAAGTCCTTGCATCATTCTGCACACCGGATGCGCACATTGTAAGCGCTTCGTGCTCATAGACTGTATAAAAACAGTTCGTGCTGCAATGTATTTGTTTTGTCCTATCGTATCTATCATATGTTGTTGCCTTATTAAAAAATATGCTATACATTTAAAAGAAATGTATTTTAATTTTATAGTATATACTTATATATAAATACATTCATGAATGTTTTTAATGAATGGATTTTATAATAATACAAATAGCAATGTGTAACATTTTACCATATTTAGTGCAACACTTTTATTTGTTCCCCACAAAATGTCGTTTTTTCACTAAATGTTTGGATTTCTAAAATTATTGTGCACTGATTTTTCTAGAATAACTTTTGCTGCCGAATTATCCACTAACCTAGTTTGATAAATTTTTGTCATATATATATATATATATAGGCCTATATTTTTTCATATTTGTTTATTTTATTTTTCTTTATAATGAAGTAGTCTGTATCTAGTAGATTGTGAAAGAATGATTATCAGTTCCACACACAGAGATATATAAATTCTACATTTATTTAAATGAGGGAAAAAAAATTCACTGGTATCGGATCGGAATCGGTATCGGCCAATACAGAACCCTAGGTATCGGAATCGGTATCGGAGGCAAAAAAGGCGGATCGGAGCATCCCTACTTTTTAACATCTGCTAAAAACATTCATAATTTTATACCGATTATGCTTAATAACCATGTAGGTCATATAAATGGCTTAGGTAAAACCCAATCTGCACACATTGATTTTTGCCCATTATCCCAGCTGATTCATTGTCCATTTTAATGCCAATATAGGAAAAAACACTGATATTTTGAAATCTGGCACAAACATGTTTTCTTGCACCTGGTTTTCATGAGCTGATTTTTGAAAGTTAGCAGCACATGTAAATGCACTCAATGACCACTTCACGTTTTTAAAGGTTGCACTATGGCTAGTGACAAACAAAAACACATTATTGACACAAGTTTGCAATCTATACATTCTCTAGTACCCGGAGTATTTTGTTGTGGTAATTTTAACCACTTGCAAGGGCTACAAATGCTGTGCTTCAATAGAACATGAAACTGTACATTCCAATGAGATGGCGTGGTTATGGCTGTGATGCATTATGGGGTCTTATGGCAATTATGGAGTATTTCATGTCAAAAAGAATTAAGTCATGGTCACAGAGGGCCAGAAAGTTTAGTCTTCTGCTGCACACTAAAGTTCAAGTTTGGTAAACTCTGACTTGCGAATCTGCACAAGGCATTTGAACAAAGCATCACAGATTGAACTCTTGGGTAACACTCAAATCTGCATGGTTTGCAAAGTGTGAAGGGTCTGATGTAGTTGTGCATGCACAAAGCATAGTATGACCACAGTTTAACTTAAATAGCCAATGTAGTATGCAGTAAGCAGCACTTATATCACAAAGACAGACACAGAAGCCTTGGTAAGAGACAAAACATTGACTTGAGAAAGCTTTAATAACCTGAATTGGTAACAAACTGGGTAACAGGCACAGCGCCATTTTGTTAAGAATTTGTTCAGATTTAATCCACAATTTTACATACTACTTAACTACTTGCTTACAAATATATAAAAATAAAAAAATCAAGATAAAAAAACAAGCTGCAGTATGACTGTAATAGTATATGTCAAATGATTTTAAAAATGTACATTCTGACAGTCAAACTACAGCTGAAATTATTATGATGGACATAATCTGGAAACAGAAATAAAACAGCATAGATAAGTGCATGTGAAGCTGAACAGAACACATGGCTCTGGATTTCTTATGCCCATTCCCTCTCCAGGGGCTAGAAAAGCAGCCAAGCAGTTTGTTTTCAAAGAGATACTTCACCCATGAAGAGCAGATAAGGCTGAAAAAAATATGTTTTTGGAACATTATCCCCGTGTCCCATCCATAAACCCACAACGAAACACTGGCTAATAAAACGGACACTGGCTGAGCTCACCAGTGAGGACAAGATTACATGGTCTCAACGGAGAGACCAAAACAAAACGGAGATAACTTTATTTCCTCTTTCTATCCGTGCGTTCAGAGTACTAGCATGTTCATGCAGCTCCTGCTGCAAATTTAAAACCTGCAGTGTCAAAAAACGATCTTTAAAACAATGACAATGCTTCTCAAACGAGTGACCGTTTTAAACATAAGTGTCTTTTGTTTACTCACATGTATCCAAGCTACTCGACAAGTCAATGCATTGTAAATTCCTCCGCTCCGACATTTGCACAGTATTCCATTACAGAGGATAGTATGTACACAGTCTTCAGCACAGCACATGGTTTTACTGGTCTGACTGACACCCTCCAGAATTTCACCTAAGCAGCTGTGATTGGCTGGGACAGGAGGGCTCCACTTACAAGCACGTGTGCGCCTGTCGGAGGAAATAAACGCAGGTCCGATAAGGAGCCAATGGGCTATTCAAAATCCCTGCATGCCTATAAATGGCAAAGATAATCAATACTTTTGGACCTTCTCTGAAGAACGCACACGGAGTGCAGAATCTGCGTGCACACGCCTCACAAACTTTACATGCAGTGATGCAAGCAAAACAAGACGCGAGACAAACACAGCCACACCGAAATATGCACACATAACTGCACAATGTACGTACGACATCCTTTAAAGCCCCGAGAACTTCTCATATCGCACTTCCTTTACCTGAACTTGCTCGCGCTTTTCCAAAAACAATGGCACTCATTCAAAAGGAGAGGTGGGGCGGCTGCTAAGCTTACACAATGCCATTTCCAGACCGTCTAAAACAGACCAGCTGCTATGATCGCTTTCATAGATTTTTCCAGAACTCAGGCCCTGTAAAAACGTAAGAACATAAATCAAAGAACCACGCACCTCACGGTACAAACCCAATCATTTTCAGCTGCTCTCGCAAACAGAGGAGGCTTTGAGTTGGTCGAAAGTGTCTTGGAACATTTGGTCCAAACCAAAAGTGATAAAGATACATGTCATGTCTGCAGGGCCATGTTCAGAATTCAACTCTAAAATACCGCACACTGCAAAGTATGCAATGTATACTACTAAATATTTGTCAAAAATGGTATGCAAAAAAGTACGTATTGTGCAATAAGCATTTCAAACCACAGCAAGTTACACTGTCACATGACCTTACTACACTGCATGCTTAAATTAGAGATAATCATTTTTAATTTAAAAATTACTCAAATATTTGCAATCAAACCATTGACCAACAAAACAACAACCAAAACAATCAAGTTCAAACTAGTATGCATTTATGTTTCTGTCCTAAAATTTAGCCCACCTTAACACACTGCAGCAGATCGAAGTTCACTTCCCACCGGTAATTCAGTACAACTTCC